TTTTTTGTTTTTTTTTTTTTTTTTTTTTTTTTTTGGTATGATCCTTAAAATTATTAGACACAAATTTTAATCTTTAATGATTTATTAGAATGGATTTGATTTAAAAATTGTTGAATATGTTCGTGATCTATGAATTATATAACTATTTTATTAATTTTAGTATCTGATTTGAACTTGGGAATAATACTATTTAGTTATTTGGAGCTAATATTTATCTAATAAGTATACCATATTATCATTTAGCCAATGAGGTTTGATGGTAGAGATTATAACATCATAATTCTAACCAAACCCATCATAGTGGGTCTTTAGAATAATTTTTTAAGAGTAATACACTAATTCCATTAGAACTTTGCAGTTAAACGTGCTTGGATGAGAGTACTATTAAGTTAGGTGACCTCTAGACTAACTTTTTAAGAGTAATACACTAATTCCATTAGAACTTTGCAGTTAAGCGTGCTTGGATGAGAGTAGTATTAAGTTAGGTGACCTCTAGACTAACTTTTTAAGAGTAATACACTAATTCCATTAGAACTTTGCAGTTAAGCGTGCTTGGATGAAAGTAATATTTATAAGCGTAACAAAAAATATTTATAAGCGTGCTTGGATGAGAGTAATATTTTGAAAAAAAAAAGTGTTAACAAAAAATATTTATAAGCGTAACAAAAAATATTTATAAGCGTGCTTGGATGAGAGTAATATTAAGTTTAAGTTGGGTGACCTCGTGTTGTGCACCCCTTTGAAAAAAAGAAAAAATGTTAACAAAAAATATTTATAAGTACTTGGAAAAAACTCATTTCGTCAAATGGACTCTAAAATTTTGGTTTTGGTTTAAATCTTAACTTTATACTTGAACGATGTAGTCTAACGTGTTCATATTCTACCATCTTTATATTTCTAAATTTGTATTTTTGTTTTTAAATTAAAAAAAGGAAACAAAAGTTAAATTTTACCGTTGAATAGAGAAGTTATTACACATCCAACCATGCTCGGACGAGAAAGTAAGGCTTAAGGCAAAAATATATGTCTTAATCGTTGGATCTGTTCATCTTGTGTTTCATATTTGTATTTTTGTTTTTAAATTAAAAAAGGAAACAAAATTTAAATTTTACGGTTGAATAGGGAAGTATTACACCTCGAACCATGCTTGGACTGGAAAGTAAGCTTAAGGCCATGCCATGACATTTTTATGAAAAAATAGGTCCTACTATGATTGTTTTTATTTGCATTTTCTAACCCCAACAACGTGGCTTCTTATTGAGTATTTTTAAATACTCAAGCCACGTGCTACTTACTTTCAGATGAAGTTTATGAAATGTTTTAAATGAATTTTTTCTAATGCATGTAGTGGCGACCTTATATTTAATAGGAAAATAAGGTAGTTACAACGTTTCTCATCTTTCTCGAATTGTGTAGTGGAAATGAAAGATTATTGAAAAAGGAATTACCTGAACTATAATTTGAATATAGTAACTTCGACCTAGGCATACCAAGTAAGTGACCCTACCATCAGATTGATTATAATTGTATGCTGAATGATGAAAACTGCCTGTGGCCTCGCACGTGTAATATGTTCGTATATGCAAATTGTTATGAAATAATGTGTATTATTATACGTGAAGATTATGCTGTATGTGATGGATTCATATGTTTATGATATGATAGGTTAAAATCTAATATGTTTGAAGGCATGTTTGGTTTATGTTATGTGACTATTATGATATGATATGTGCATGAGATGAATGAATACGTTCGAAGATATGGTAAGTTTATGTTATGAAAAATGTGAACAAGAACGTTATGTGATATGATTGACATGCAAATGACAAATTGGCATAATGTACAACCCCGATATATGCATGGAAAGCTATGATAAAAATATTATGATATGAAGAAAAACGCTTTCGAGGTTGTAATACATGGTAATGAAAATGAAAAAATGTTGGGACTCATGCATTATTGTGTGTTCATGCATCGGGGGATACCCCTTCTCCTTCTACGATAGTATGGACGCATACGCTACAAGGCAGGGAAACGATTATTATGTTTACCATAATGCTGCCATGACAATCGCTATTTCTAATGGGTGTCTGATATAAACAGCAAATAGATTATGCTTGTCCGACAAGAAAGGAGCCCAGGAGACTATGTCGGGGAGGCTATTCAGCAGTCGAGCCTCGCGTTCATCTAGTGTTTTATTATTATGTCATTGTTGTGATATGAGTATGTTATGTTACGAAATTCAATGTGTTATGTTATAGTATACTTATAAAATATACTATGTTATGGAGTATCATGTTGACATGTTATGCCATATGAAATTGAGATATGTTTTGGAGGGTGTTATACCGAGTTATACACTATGTTATGAGATGACCTGAAATGATTAAGTATGAAATGACGAAGGTATAACTTGCATCATAGATACATGCCATAATTTTAAACTATGTAGATCTCATGCATATTGTATGTTCGCACGCATAACGATATTTCTTCATTATGATTAGTACAGACGCGTATATTACAATGTTATAATATGATATTGTGTACACTACAATACCGTGCGCGTTCCTTTCCCTCTGTGGTACATCAACAGCATGAGTGTATGCTAGTCAAAGGCCAAGTTCAGGTGTACATATACGTGCTCACCTTGGGATCCATGTGTTCTCACATGGGCCGTGTGTAAAAAATTACTACCCATCCAATTATAGAAGTGAGACCAAAACCATATTATGATATTTTGTAAGATGATACGTCTCAAACATGATTGCATGTGATAATGAAGTTACTGGAATTTTTCTTAAAATACTCAAGTCACGTGCTACTCTTATTTTTTAGGTAAAGGTAAGATACATCTGCACGAATGACGTCACAGTGATGACCATGAGACCAAAACTAGGGTAGATGCATCCATGTTGTTTTTTCGTAACCCTTCGGTTCGATCAATGCAATACTTTACTTAAAAAACATAATACTTTTACAACAAACAATAGAAAGAATCCTTAAATAAAACTACAAAACACTCTAAAAATGATACAACTCATCACCTCAAAGCCAACAAAATATCACTCACAAACAAAAGTTGAACTATTCCAAATACTAATTTGGTATCAAAAACTACGTATAAATGTATTCTAAACTTACTTCAAAATCAAGAACTAACCAAACTTTACTTAACATATGACACAAGACTGAAGTAAACGAAGATCGTCGATTTAGTATACGAACTCTTCTTCAGAAGCATTTCCTGTGAACTATAGCCGGACCCGACTCGTCGTATTCAGCCTTCGTGATCCACATCTGCATCGTTCAGCGATAATCGAAATGGTTATATTCATAAAATTTGGTCAAGAATCCTAAAACGTTAGTAAATAACTCTATTTTGATTGCAAGAGATACCTGTTGGAAGGTACTGAGGGATGCTAGGATGGATCCTCCAATCCAAACACTGTACTTTCTTTCTGGAGGTGCGACGACCTTAATCTTCATGCTGCTCGGAGCGAGAGCGGTGATTTCTTTGCTCATACGATCGGCAATGCCGGGGAACATTGTCGTACCACCACTGAGTACGATGTTACCGTACAAGTCTTTCCTGATATCAACATCACACTTCATGATGGAGTTGTATGTGGTTTCGTGGATACCGGGTGATTCCATGCCGATCAGCGATGGCTGGAAAAGTACTTCCGGGCAACGGAATCTCTCGGCTCCTATTGTAATCACCTGCCCGTCTGGTAGTTCGTAGCTTTTTTCGATGGCTGAACTAGTCCTGGCTGTCTCAAGTTCTTGTTCGTAATCAAGAGCCACATATGCAAGCTTCTCCTTCACGTCACGGACAATTTCTCGCTCGGCTGTTGTCGTGAACATGTAACCTCTTTCGGTAAGGATTTTCATCAATGCATCCGTTAAATCACGACCAGCAAGGTCGAGACGTAGGATTGCATGAGGGAGCGAAAACCCCTCGTATATTGGCACTGTGTGGCTCACTCCATCACCAGAATCCAACACAATACCTGGCACAATTTTAAAAGTTCTGTGAGAAAATATAACAGTAAAAGTTTATGTAACTAAAATAGATATTGTCCCGGAACAGCCCCAGGCCACCGCTAGCAGATATTGTCTTTCCCTCTCGGGCTTCTCCTCAAAGTTTATAAAACGTGTCTGCTAGAGAGAGGCTTCCACACCCTTCCATGCTCTTAGAAAGGGTGTTTCGTTCTCCTCTCCAACCGATGCGGAATCTCACAATCACCCCCATCCGGGTCCTAGCTGGCACTCGTTCTCTT